GGGGGGGGGGGGAGTTGGATATATACTATATCAATCTCAGTCAAAGCTATGTGAATCTCAAATATATAATATACAGAGCATTCGGAAGACTCAGGTTAGAGTCCGAGCCTGTGTCGCTAGTGGCATATCTACTCCTCTTCTTTATAATCATCATCATATGGACCTTTCCACGTAGTCATTGCTATCAAATCCGACATAAGCGCCACGCATATCGGCTCATCATTCAGCTCATAGAAATACCCCACCATCATCAGCCTCTCGTTCCAGGTCAACCGACTCACCAAGTCCGCGATGTCGGGCGGCCCGTCCCAGCGCGCCCAGGAACCGCACTTCCTCGCCAGCGGACTCAAGCCGCTTAGCGATCTCGGGCGCGGGCGAGACTGGCGAAGATGAGGACGTTGCCAGTGGCCGGGTGGACGAGCCACAAGGGGGTTTTGGGACCGGAGAGTTGCAGGGGTATTATGGCGTCGTATTCATGGGTGGTGTCTTTCGTATTTCAAGAGGAGGTGAGTTATTCGGAGGCGAAGCAGTGGGCAAGGTCGGCAACAGTCGGTTCCCTGAGAAGGTCGGGAGGGGTAAGACAACCCCGAACGTCTGGTGCAGGTCCTGGGTGACGGTGTGGAAGTCGAGGGAGGGAGACCAGGCTGAAGAGGTTCGTGGGCTTCACGGTCGGTGTCGAGGGCGCCGGAAGTGGGATCGGGAGGGCATACCGACCGAGGTTCTTTCGAGATAACTGCGTGGGAGCAACATCGTCCGGAGCGTAGCTGGGCAGTTGGTCTCAGATGGGCGTCGGGGGCTAGGTGGGCGAAGACCAGCGTGAAGCTCGAAGTCAGATCGGGGATACGCACCTGTTCGAGACTGCACTCCACCTCGACGGGGAAGATGGTCTCCCCGTTGAGTAGAAGCGTGTTGTTGAAGCGGCCGGTGATGTACAGCTGGCGTGGGCATCTAGGTAGGCGTTGTCTTACGTGATGAACCAGCCGGAGGAGGAGCTGCCGCACGGTGGGCTCTCCGCCGGAGAAGACGCAGCGCAGATCCGAGAGGCCCCAGGTCGGAGCGGGTTGAGCCTCTTGCTTCGGCGTGATCCGACAGATGCGGTCGTACAGCAGGGCCAGGAAGAAGTTGGGAGCGAAGCCGAGGAAAATGCGATGGCGGTCGACGAGGTCGAGAAAGCGGCGCGGCTCAGCGCAGTCTAGCTAAGGAAGACATGTTGCAGTGCGCGGCTTTACCGGCGGCTACGGCTAGCGCTGGGGAATACACACGGCTTTGGAGAAGCCGGTGCTGCCAGAGGGGAGCATCAGGGCCCCGAGATCATCGGCCCGTCGGTTGCGATTCATCGGGAGTGGAGTTGGAGGGGGAGGAACAGGAGATCAATGCAGATAGCTGATCCATGAGATACAAATGCGCGGTGTTGACGCCCTGGAAGGCGCATGTCATGCAGCTGTGGGTGAGTATCACCGGGTCATCCGGCAGCTGGAGAATGAGCTTGGCCTGGGCCCTGCGACGGCCGGTTGAAATCGCGAACCTGGGTACAATAAGCGACTGTGCAGGCCCGGAACCAACGGATGTTCTCTCATCGTGGGGGTCAAAATGCAGCAGGAACACTGTGTCCCGCTGGGGAGGTTTGACACCGAGGTTTGCATCCAGTGCGCATCGAGCAGCTGCTGATAAGCGAGCCGCTCTGCTGACTCCGCAGCAGTTTTTGAGATCTTGTAGAAAGTACTGCCTACAGAAGTGGTTGCAGCTCACTGCAGAAGCTCGAGCGGGTTGGTGGCCTTGCGGGCGGGGGGCGGCAGGATCTTGGGGTTCATTTCTGCAATGTAGCTCTGGACCTGGTCTTTGCCTGGCTCCAAGACGGCAGGTGAAGGAATAGGATGAAGTAACATGGTGCGACGGCTGTTGCGGATGATTGGAGAAGATCCACAAGGCTCAGTGGGAGTTCATTTTAATGGGCCGGGTGCAGAGCTAAGCACTGCCATCTTCGGAGTTCGCAAGGCTTGTCTGAGTCGACGAGGCATTCTAGTGAGGGTGGGCCAACGTGTCTGAACGGATCTTATTCGTGAAGAAATCGATTAGTGCTGGATTAGGGCCGACACAGGGGCCGAAAAGTGGACCGGATGTCCTGTTAGAATCCGGCCCTTTCCCCTCTTCTCTTTTGCCTGCAAGATTGGCACTCCTAATGCAGAGTCCAGCGCAGTATCCCTGTCATCATGGCCAGTCTGACCACCATTCAGGAGGCAGTGAGAGTTATTTAGCGGCGGCTGAGTTCCTCCTCGCTGACAATGGGCTTCGGGGGATTGTTGAGAGGGACTTGATAATCCCAGTGGTTTATCCTCCCATCCATTGTCATTCTCCGATCTTTGTATCTTCTATGGGACGATCACTACCACCATGTCGGCGACAATGTCCTCATCGCCCTCCGCCCGCTCTTCGACGCTAACTCCGGCGGAGCTGGCCGAGTGGTCGCAGTCCCTCAAGCCGGTGGTGTTGGGTCCCAGTATCACCATGGTGGTACTTGGCAATCTGGGTGTGATGCTGCGTATCTGGGCCCAACGGCGCATTCACAAACGTCCCGTGCAGGAGGACTATTGGCTGATCATGGCCGTTGTATGTTATCTTTCTTTCGCCGCTCTGTCGACCCATCTCAATCAACTCGGTCAATAACCCCTCATATCTGTCTCTAGCTCTTTTCCAACGTGGGCTCGATCGCCGTCCTAGTTGCGGTGCATTTTGGATTGGGGTACCATCAGTTCCGCGTCAACGCTGAGGATCCATCGCTGCGTTCCCTGCAGTGGATCTTCTTGTGCATGTGGCTCACGGCTACCTTCAACGGGCCCTCCATGCTGGCCACCAAGATTGCCCTGCTCCTCTACTACCGCCGGCTGTTCATCGTGCAGCAGATCTGGCTGCGTATCTTTTGGTGGACCAATGTTGTGTACGTGGTGCTCTGGGGCATCGGCTCGACCATCACATATATGCTCTCGTGCGTGCCAGCCAGCTACTACTGGGAGCGTTTCAACCCGGAGTCGACGATGCACGGCAGCTGCCGCAACACCACCAACGCCGACGGCGTGCCGCTCATTCTGGACCTGATCTCCGACGTCGCGATCCTGGCGCTGCCCATTGCTACCATCGCCACCCTGCAGATGCCGCTAGCCCGCAAAGCTGGGCTCATCATCGTGTTCTCGGTCGGATTCCTGTACGTTCCCCTGAATGAGATTCCCTGTTATGTATAGCTAGCTTAACTCACTCCGCAGTGCCATTGTATCCGCGGTCGCCCGCGTCGTCGTGCTCTACAAGGCCACGAGCCTGCACACGGACTTCCCCTACGCAGCTGCCCCCTTCGAGATGCTGGTCGTGATCCAGCTCAACATGGCTATCGTGTGCGCAACCGCGGTGCCCATCGCCTCGGGCTTCCGGGTGGCCTTCAGCAAGAAGCGCCGCCGCGACAAGAGCTGGATGGCAAAAGGCGTGAGCGGGAATACGTCCAGCAGCCACGCCTCGGCGGCGGCGCGGGCCGCACGCCTGCGGCTCGAGGAAGAGGCCAGCAGCAGCACCGAACAGCTGCATATGGGGCACTTCACCACCAGCTGTGCCTCCAAGGGGCCGGAAGATCGGGCGCGGGGAGAAGAGCCCGTGACAGGGAATGGGATTATGGTGAAGATGGATGTGGATATTCGATAGTATAGTACTTCTACCATACAGTTACATAGACACGCAGTGGGAAACATATACCCTAATACTAACCCCCAAACCACCCTCAAAAGCCACTCACTCCACCCTCGTAGCACACCACCAAATAATCCTGGCATTATCATCCATAAAACTCGCCTTATTCCTCATTTTCAGCGTCGTCTCCCCGACCTCCAACTCCGCCTGCACCTCCCACTTCATCCCCAACTTCTCCCCAACCTCCTTCCAAAAGCCCTGCAAACTCCCCACATCATGCCTATAATGCAGCATCGTCTCTTCCGTGAACCCCTTCAAATCATACACCCCGGCTACCGTACTCCCCATCTGCCTCCCACAAACCACCGTTCCGATCTGCCCCCTCGTCAACCCAATCAACCGTTTCACACCACGCACCTGCCCCTCATAATCCCAGAAATGCAGCAACGAGCCGGCCCAAACAACATCAATCTTCCCCTTCATCGTCCCCACAATCTCGCCCGACTCCCACTCCTCGTCCGACACACCTAGATCCGCGCCCACAAATGTAGCGGGGAACGAGTCGGTATTGTCTCGGAAGAGCTTGTACCCGAGCTCGAAGAACCCGGGTTCTAGATCGAAGCCGTATAATTGCGAGGGCGGGATCGAGGCCGCGTAGACTAAGTATCGGAGCTCTTGGCCGACGCAGCAGCCGGCGTCGAGGAAGCCGTTGTCTGGGGAGGCGCGCAGGCGGGACAGGACCTGTGGGTAGAAGGGGAGGCAGGAGAGGTGGCAGCTTAGGAAGCGCATTTGACCGATGCAGGGGTAGGGGAAGATGCGGAAGGCTTCATCTCGCTGTTCACTCAAGTGGTTTCGGTTAGAGTTAGGGGGATGTCATCCTGGGTTGGAGATAGTCCTCGGGGGTATGGGTGCCTACCAGGGCTAAGACATGGGGAATGATCTCTTCGGGTGTGAGTCCGCTGTAATTCTCAAGCATTGACTGCGCAGCGGGGTCGATGGCCGTGACGCTGGTTTCGTACCAGGCTGGCTTGGTGGTGGTGGTTGTGATGGTGGTGGACATGGTAGGTGAGTTATGTTGTTGGCTGGAAATAACGTCGGGGTTGATGGATGGGCTAGAAAGTGAGTTCAGGATATGTGACCGTTAAGCTTGATTGTAGGGAATGCTTCTCCATAAAAATCTGGAATGTCTAATCCCGATTACATCCCCACCGCTGCTTGTCCTGCCCCAGAGAATCGGGGTGCTTAAATAGGGGTATTATGCTACTCCACCTGTTTGTTATGGTAAATGATATGCACTGGCTCTCTACTCGGCCTGACTAATTTGTAGAGATTGATACAATGGAAAGAAGACGCCATCTAGTGTAAAATCCTTCTCTTTCTATTTTCGGCATTGATCCAGGCACATAGATAAGCCCTACCACAACATAGATGGACATGCGAAATCTTTTTCCCTAGACCAAGAATACACAACAGGAGGGGAGTAATCAAGAAGTCAGGAACGAAAAGCCAACATGCCTCTCATGTTACCGAGGAGGGGTACCTACCTACACTAGTGCTGACAAGAGCATTTAGCGTGTAAAGCTTATCCCTATGTAGTATACAATCAGGCCTTTGCTAGCAGGATTAGTTTAGTGCCTGCAGCTTGCATTTAGTAGATAGGTTCTAGAGTCGAGTTTTCGCTGCGTGCCTGTGCCGGTCTTCCCCGAGGTGGTGTTGCTTACTGGACATGCTGAGTGTACACAAAGTACGCGACTTGCTAGTTTGATTTTTTTTTTCTTTTATTTTTCCCTTTCTACAGAACCATAATTGTCTTCAAACAAACAAGCAGATCAAACAGAGGCCACCACCACACCAACCAAGGCCAGCGCACCGGCCAGATAACTCCCCGCGGCCATCTTGTGGCCCGCCCCACTCGAAGTCTCACTAGCGGCAGCGCCAGTGCTGGTGCTGGTGCCCGAGCTTGTGGTCGTGCTGGAACCGGATGCGCCCGAGCTGGAGCTGGAGCTGTTATTCGGCGCCGTAACGCGGAAGTAATTGGCCGCGACCGGCGAGCCCAGCCCAGTCTGGTTGAGGAAGCTGACCAGCGGCAGGTTGACCCGGTTCACGGGCGTACCCTTTACAGTCAGCATGAAGGATTCGTAGCGACTAGGGATGCTGAAGTTGGAGGGCTGGTCGAACAGGAACAGGGTGTAGTTGTGGGTGCCGGACGTGGGGGTGGGGGCGATGTAGGAGGCCAGCACATTAGCGTCACTGGAGCTGTTGACGGCGGTGGTCAGGTTGGCGACGATGGTGTGCAAGATCACCGAGGGGGGAGTGGTTTTGTTGTAGTCCGGGTCGACCATCAGCAGCAGATAGGGACCCGAGCTGCTCAGCCCCATGTCGTGGAGATGCGGCTGCGGCGCGTCCACGGCGACTATAGATGGTGTATTGGTCAGTCAAACAAGTCTGAATCGAGTATCGGTCGTGCATACCGCTCGCGTTTAGGAACTCGCCAGGGGTGAAGCTGACTGAAGTCGACCCCACAAAATAGGTGACATTCAACACCGTCGACGGCTCTCCAATGCTCGCCAGTTCAGGAGGGACGGTGTCCGCGGTCGCGGCAGTAGCAACCGCGGCGAAGGCGGCAATGGCAGAGACAAGACGCATGATGGGGATGTTCGTTGGAGCTGGACGTAGCTGAATTCACTGTTGGGTAGGAGTTGGGTTAAATAGAGAAGCCTGCGACCTGTGCACTGTTCGACACTTAGCCTATAAGGTTAATAGGTCGGTTGCTGACAAGCAATGTGGGAATGGCTCCATCAATCGTGGCCCTAATTAGGAAAATAATCGTGGTGGCATCTGCACATGGCCGGAGGCTGTTAGCGCATAACTATGGTTCGGGGATTACTCTAACTTTGACTTTAGCATCACTCTTGGCGACAGCCGTGGCACATGGAAATGAAAGGAATTTTCCGTCTCGCTTTGTCGTTGGGATGGCCATATTTGTCGTTTCGGGCCATATTACCTTGTTTTTATCATTTTAGTTAGTTAACGAAGAAGTGGGAATACGCTGCAGACTTCCAAGCAGCGGTGTGGGCGTCATCCCTGTCCTCAATATGCAGCTGACTGACTTCTAGGGGTTGCCAAGGAGAAATTGGCAGGAAATGGTATCAACTCCCGCTGCACGTATGGGATTTTACCCCCAGAGACTAGTCCTATTTTCGTCTCTCTCGATAAAATGATGTATATATTAATTAGGGAAGAGCATTGTAGAAAGGCCGGGTCGTTATCGACACCGTCACTCATGCGTGATTCTCATACAAATTTCTCAGCCAACATACTCATTTAAGATAACATCCATGATTTGCACGTACCAGATTCTAGAATTGTTCTTTGGGTTTCGAAAGGCGGATCCGCCCCCAAAGGAGGTGAAAGTCCTCTAAGTATAGTACTGATCCCAACAGGTGGTCCTGGCCCCATTCCCGAAGGAACAATGCGTCTAGCATGAACCAGGAGTCCATGTGTTCTTTTCTTGTGGATATTCAAATCTCTAGTGCCAGACGGCATTGAAATTAAGTGAGAGAAGCAATACCATAAGAAGAAGAACTATAGCAAGCCCGATCAGTTCCTATATATCAGAGAACCATATGCTGAGTAACTATAGCGGAAAGCCCTGGACTGGAGCGAAAAGGGGCTAGAGGTAGTAACCAGCCTCGATATATTATTTAACGAATGTTGATGGTCTTCTTTCATGTAGCAGGGGAAAGACCTTGACATACTGTTGAAGAATCTACTACTCAAGATAATTAGGGCACGTGGTAGCTACGATATATGGAAAGATGAAAAGCCCGGAGGTCTGGGGGTCTTCCCACAGAACGACGTGCTCCCCATGTCGATATCTAGACTTTGTGCAAGAATATGCTTTGATTCCTTTCTTTTTCTTTCTCCTGTCTCTATTTCCTCTCTTAGCGTGTTTCAAAGAAGAAAATAGAGACCGAATGCTATCCATCTACTCCACAATAAATTCTCAATCAACTTGAGCCAGTGCATCGATAAATGCATCAAACGCGTCCTCGAACTCCGGACTTTCTGATACCCACTCTACCGCGCCTTCGGACTCGAACGGCTCTAGCGCCTGGCCGTTAACGACGGGAAACAGGCGGATGTGCAATCCACGGTACACGATGGCGCCTGCGCAGCAGTCCGCCGGCACGTCAGGGTTGAGCTGGCGCTCGACCTGCCAGCGGGCCTCAGCACAGGCAGAGGCTAAGTCCCAGTTGCCGTTCCAGTCACCTTCTTCGAGGTCGGCCAAGTACATGGGGAGACGCCTGTCACTGTAGCCGTTGACGAGGCCATTGAGATAGGGAATGGAGATGGACATGGTGCTGGTTGTTTCTGAGGATGGTTACTGGGGGTTAGTGGATTGTGTGTGAAGGAAACTGTAACAGACGGTGAGGATTGATAAGGTGATGGAGCAATACTTCGAAGGGGTGAGGTGGTGGTATTTATAAACAATCTTGTCGAGGTGGAATTAATTTGTTGGTTGGGGTTTGAGGGTGATTCCGGCCTTTTGGGGATGCTGAGAATATACTGACAGGTGAGATTGTTATTAGAGATCTAAATCCTGGAGAGCACCACACAGATACTCTGATTATCGGAGATGTTCCTACAGATACTTCAATATAAATGGAGGAATTCGAACAGGAATCAAAAGCACCGAGGATGTTATCATGCGGAGATACTGGTACTGCAGGAACAATGCACTGGCCAAGATCTGAAGAATCTGTATATGTGCCCTGCAGCACCTAAGTGGTAAATCAGAGCTAAACACCATGGAATAAACCGTGATTGTTGTGTTGTATACGGTTTTGAATCGGATATTGATTAGAGTTCATTATCTTACCCCTTCGGCTGCTTCCACGGTATGGGGTGTTCTTATTGTCTGTCTATTTCTCCCATAGCCAGGGAAAAATCTCTTTGGAGTGATGAGATTCATTTTTCGGCTACTGAGTTTGGTATCTTGATAGCGTTTCCTACTAGTAGTTTGAGGACTGGGGGGACGACTTGGATTGAAAGGGAAACAGACTGAAGAAAAGAGAGGTAATGAAAAAGTGAAAGAGACTGAAGCAATGAAAGTAACTGAAGAGGCAAAAGCAACTGAAGAATCGGAGTAGGTTGAAGAGACGAAAAAGAAAAAACGCGAGCAGTGAGAAACAAAGAAGATTATAAACACTATTCAACACCTAATATGCATGACACAGTCATCGGCACATGGCATCCTCATTTCGAATTTCCAGTACTAGTTCATGATTTAGACTGAAATGGGACTTCCTCAATTGCCACCATCCAACCTAGAAGCTCACCGTCTGTAGACTATGATGCTATACTGACTTGCGTTGACTCTTCGCAGTAGCCACTAGGCGGCCGAGAGGGGCAGAACCTACGAGCTGGTTGCAGAAATATTCGAACAAAGAAAAGGGTAAGCGAGTGAAGCGAACAGGACTCCTGGGTCAAACTAACGAGACGACAACCCCTCGCTGTGGTGGAATACCCTACGCATACTTACTTGCGCTGATTCAGTTTTGCCAGTGCTTACTTGTATGGTGACTCTCCTACGGCATACAAGTGTGGGCTTTCTATATACAATGTAAGCTACCGTCCCACTTCAGGGGAAGAACTCACTTATAATCAACCAAATCATGGTGTTAGCCAAACACACAAGGCTTCCCTTAGAACATTACGTCCATAATGTTCGGCTTCAGAGACTGGAATAGTCTTGTTTCTTGTGTGGTGACGACAGTATGCATAAGCTCTGCTCTTGTGGCACTATGTTTGGCCAAAGACGTTCAGATGCCTCTAAACCTCTATACAGACGCAAGTTTGCAATGGAAGCACTGCGGTGAGGTCAACAATCACACTCTCCAATGTAAGTATGCATATGCTTCTAGGCCTGTTCCGAAAGGCGTTGACGCGACAGGAAGGCTCCCGACTGGATGTTCCCAAGGACCACTTCAGCCACTCGTCCGACAAAACTTTCTCGATACCCATCATAAGGATGCTCGCTAAGAATGCATCTGCTACCGGAGATAGACATATCTTTCTCAACCCCGGGGGACCCGGAGGTGTGTTGAGACTACAGTTAGTGTAACTTTCACTGACATGGTGTAGCCAGTGGAGTGGGCTTTCTTCGTGGATCTGCGTTTGACCTAAATAAACTCATCGGGGAAGGTTTCCACTTACTGAGTTTCGATCCTCGTGGCGTATGTGGATCGATACCGAAAGCTGTTTGCTATTCAAGCAACTCCGAACGCGCTGCAGCGTTTGCCAGCAACCTTTGGGACCTTAAGTGTCAAGCCGGTGCGATGTACACTAGAGCCGAGAATAAAGCAAAGGCCTGTGAAGACATGATGGGCGAGTATGGAAAATACATAAGCACCCCGCAGATAGCTGCTGATATGAATTCTATCCTCGACGCGATAGGGCAGCAGAAGATGTATTATTGGGGACTTAGTTGTCTGTTATGTTTCTTGCCACTGACTCGATAATTGACTAACGGGCATAGATGGAACTACACTCGGTCAGACATATGCGCAAATGTTCCCAGAGCGGGTCTCCCGAATGGTGCTGGACGGCGTGAGCAATCTGGATGAATGGTACAATTCCTTTTTAATTGAAGAGTCGTTAATTGATACGGACAAGATCTTTACCGGCTTTATCGAAGAATGTTTCAAAGCCGGAGAAGTTTGTCCGTTACGGTCAATCAAGGGGGAGCAGTTCAAGTTGGCTAGCCGCCTTCAGTCCTATATCGATGGGTTTTTACACGAACTCGAAGAAGAGCCAATTCCTGTTTACTTGAATAGCACGAATTATGGTGCCATCACTCGACGAACTCTAGTGACGAACGGGATATTCTTTGCCCTTTACAAGCCGACAACTTGGCCATCCTTTGCCAAGATTCTGGTTGAATTACTAAACGGCAATACGACTCCGGCTTACAATGCATATTCTGAATCATGGGTGCTGAAGTATCTGGTGGATGAATCCACTACCTTTATAGGTTTGAATGATAACCGGAAAACCGGCGAGAATGCCCCTGTTCATGGTATTAAGCCAGTCTACCATCATATTAGCTCGAGACCGGAAATGTCCTATTTGGTATTAAGGTATGAAGGATCTGATATCTACGATCGAGCCTCGTGGTCGGTTCCGACAACCCATGAATTTCATCCTCGGTACTACCCAGAGTTTCCCCGGACGAGGACATTCGAGCCGATACTGATATTGTCAACTACTTGGGATCCTGTATGTCCATTGATATCTGCAAAGAAAGCTCAGAATAGCTTCGAAGGCACTCGTCTAGTAGAACAAATATCGTATGGTCACTGCACTCTCAGCATGCCTTCATTGTGTACTGTGGGGCATTTGAGGCGGTATTTCGTTGAAGGAATACTACCGGAGCCCAGAGCAACGTAAAACAGAACTTCTCCCCCAACTTGATGACTAAATACTAACTGAGTAAACAGGTGCGGCATTGATGCTGAGTATTTCCCATCTGCTCGGGGATCTGCAGTGTCTACATTGAGTGTCGAAGAGGAGGATTTGCTCAGTAGTCTTCATGCGTTGGCAACAAAAGATGTCTTCCTTGTTAGAAGCCAGGTGTAAGGGCGAAGCTAAATTTCAAGGTCGAGAGCATTGGTTGCTTTGCTTTAGTGTCAGCCATACTTAGTACTTGACACTCAGTCGGAGAGGGCTTTTGATACGTAGTGTGGCAGATTTGGCTCATCTGTTGGTAGGGATATCAGCGATTATCGCACATGACTGAAGAAGTAATAGAATTCAATTCTTTTTGCTGACGCACAATGATATATGATGGAAACTGAAAAGCATTATATACACTTGAGGAATATTATACACGAGGACTTTGCCTGTGGTGAAGACCAGCCAATGGATCAGCATGGATGAGCATTATTTGGTCTCGAATTCAAAGGTATGAAGGGATATAATTGGTATCCTTGTTGATTGCACCCACTGCAGGTTGTGCTAGCTGTCGAATGTATGCTTTTGATGCAACCACCAATAAAGGCCTTGGAGTATCGGAAGCCTCCGAGCAGCAATTCTTTTCCCTTCGGTATCAGTTGAAGTCCAGATGTCCGCCTGGCTGGGCTACCTAGTAATCAATGCCATTCCCTTCTGCCATAGAATACTTCTTTCACCCTGCCATATGCGAAAAGGTAGGCAGTTTGCCCGATTGAGAGGCCTTTGGAGACACTAGACACCAACAAGTGCCAGAGGCTGGGATGAAGACATGTAGTCGTCGACTAGTCTCAATGGTTCCAATGGACTGTAGCCATTCAATCAGAAGCAGTCTGCCCAGCACTCTCCTCGGCCAACTGTTTCAACGACCTCTTCTCCTTCTCAATACCATTCCGCCGTTGAGCAACATCACAAAGCTCAATATTCCCACACTCACACTCCCCATTCCTCAACCACCGATACGTAAGACTCCACCTATCCTCCCTTAGCCTCACCGAACCATCGGGCATCGTATCCGTCTTGCGCTTCTTGATCCCATGCGTCCAATGAAGTCTCGCATCCCCAACCATCGCCATCATCGTCCTTGGGGTCAAATCCACGTCCACCCGCTCCTCCGTCTTTCCCTTCCGGAACTGCATCAAGACCGGCGCACCCAGCGACAGCGCATACAGCTGATCCCACGCCAGGTGCGCATCTACATGAGGCGGAATGCCACTTCCCGGCGGATAATACTGTAGACAGACCTGATCCGGGGGACGGGACTCCGTCGTGGGAATCAAGGGCTTCAGCCAGTCTGGAAACTCCTTATAGGGTATCTCAGGATCTACTCCGAAGGTCTTATAGTCGAATGTGTAGCCGTAGTGGAGAGATGTGCGCCCGCTGCGGTCGGGCCACTTTAGTTCATGGCGGAAGATGGAGATTAAATGCTGCTCGTGCTCGGGAGTGATGAAGTCTTCTTGCCAGAAGATTCCACGGGGGGTGAGGGGCAGCTCTTTCATGCTCATTGTTTGGTCCGCTGCTGGGTTTTAGATTTGTATAGGCAAGTTATAGATGGGTTATACTGTCGGGCAAATCCTAATTTGGGAAGAATTTTCCCGGACTTGCCCCGCGGGGTGGAACTAACCGGATTCGGTATCTGGGAGGTGGTGGGGCCAATCAGATTGCCGCTATCTGATCTAGATGTTGACTGACCTATGCTGGAGTCAACTGATTTGGCGTACAATTCCAAGTGAATGACATGGAATAGGCCAGATGTATTCTGTGGATACTCCGTGCGGTAATTGTGGGAGTGTGCGATATCCTACTTGAACAAACAGCCCTGGTTGCACATATTAAGACGAGTCATGGTATTCCTAGGATAACTATTCATGCGTCAACCATGATTATGAACATACAAGAATTAGGTTCAATAGTTATATAGTATGCTATCAAAGAAATGCGTTCAGCTAGAATTGAGTTCGATCGCCTCACCAAATGCACTCGCCACATACTCAATATTCTTCTCGTTCAGCCCACAGATACTCACTCTCCCGGAAGGCAAGAGATAGATATGAAACTTCTCCCGCAAACGAGTGACCTGTTCTTGATCCAGCGCCGTGTAGCTAAACATACCAATCTGGCTCTCCAAAACCGACCAATCCCCGGGCGTCCCCTTGTTTTCCAGCCTTCTGCGAAGCTCACGCCGCATGTTCTTGATTTTCGAACTCATAGTATCCAAATCTCTCAACCATTGACCTTTCAACTTCTCATTCCCCAGGACAGTCTCGACAATACTCGCCCCGAAGCGAGGGGGATTGGAGTACTCGGAGCGAGCGAGAGCAACCAATTCCGAGCGGGCACCCTGAGCTCCAAGATGCCGCGGCACGACAAGGTGGAGAGCACCTACACGCTCGCCATAAAGTCCGAAATTTTTAGAAAAAGACTGAGCCACGCAGAGGCCTGGACAGTCGGGCTGTCCATCCAAGATCAGTTGCTCCACGAAAAACCGAATTGACCAGGCATCACCGTCCACGTCGCCTGTAGCAAATCCTTGGTATGCGCTGTCAAACACAACGTATAGTTTCTTCCGCTTCATTACCTCCGCTACTTGTGCCCATTGCTCGTGGGTGAGGTCCACACCTGTCGGGTTATGTGCACAGGCTTGCAGGATCACTACATCTCTCTCCTCGGCGGTTGTTTTAAACACTGAGAGCATTCCTTCCAAGTCCACTCCCCTGGTTTTTGTGGAGTAGTAAGGATACTCTGCGATAGGGACCCCGACGTTGGCCCAGATAGTCTTATGATTGATCCATGTCGGCGAGGGTATGAATACCCGCTTTGGGCGAAGATGATGTGCTAGGAAGTGCGCAGCCATGTGGTTTGCGCCTGTTCCTGAGACTGTTTGGATGGAAGTGATGCTCTTTTCTAGCTTTGCGGTAATCTCGGATCCGAATGTAAGGGACTGGGCTAGGTTAATTAGGGCTGGGGAGCCTGCGATGCCGAGATATTCATGGTTTTGACTTTGAGCGAGGAGCTCTTTTGCCTAACTCTAAGAGTTAGCTTTTCAATAGCCAAAATATAGTCCTGACAGTATTAGCGAACCTCTCTCACGCTCGGAAGTACCCAGGGTTGGCCGTTCTCGTCGCGGTAGGCCCCTGCTATCAGGGATACTTTGTTTGGGTGCTGGTCTGCATCGTATTCTGCCATTAACCCGAAGGCTGTATCTGCTGGGGCAATAGGTAGGCCAAGGTATTGCTCGCTCATGTTCGGGGTCTGTATGGTTGTGTTTGCTATGTTGCTGGTGAGTGGCAAAGCCTGGGAAATGATGAAGAGGGTGCCAGTGATTTATTGAGAGAAAAGTCAACTTATCAGCCATTAGAAAATCATGCTAGCCATGTATTTAGATATTCTCATTATTTGTCCAGTGCAATCGTTTCGGCCCAGTGACCTTTTTACCGGCCTCCGATGCTTGCTGTCATGGTTGGTAATCGGCACAAAGTATTCTTCCCGGTGGCTCGGAACCGATGCGTCGACACTACTCGGCATCGCCAAACTCACATCCACAGACACCGTATAATCATAGAGCCGAAGTTATCTCTCAAAATGAAAAATTTGACTCTTGCAAGAACCCAAAGCCAGCAGACTTAGCGCTGCGGGCCGGCAGGTGGTCTGGATATAATGATTTTCAAGATTGGCACACAGCCCAACTAAGTCCAGTTCATGATGGTTTTAGACAGCATTGATATGGTTTACAAACCACGATAAGTTAATGATTGCGCCTCCAAGGATTGCTTGAGCCTAAGCAGTGTTCATCCAACCATAGCTGGTTCTATCCTACGGCTAGTTGCCGTTTGCCGGAGCACCAGAGCCAACCTTAGCAGCATCGTATGCTACAGTTGAAAGCTACGTTCCCTGTAGATTGCTGATTATATTGAGATCCAAAAATCCTCTAGTTCGTAAATTCAGATGCATGTAACTTTGGTACAAATCAATAGTCTAGGGGAAGATGAATGGAAGACTCCCATTAGAAAGTAGCAGTAATGAATGGCATTGCATGAGCCACCACTGATTGTTGCCTCGGACAGCCCAACCACACCTTCACAGTGACAGCTTTATAACGATATGTCAGCGCTTAATCTAAAACTCAAGTCTGGTTTTTTAATGGCGTGAACAGGATTATATATGATGCGCTTGTCGATCACCAGGACACGGGACAACATGCCACGTCATCCACAACCAGCCAGTTCAGGGTTGTGTAGATAGTGGCTATTTTGTACTGCAAAGATTAAGCCCGATTACTTTGGCTAGACAATCGGCGATACAAGCACGATATCAGATTAATATCACTTTCAAACAAAATATAAGAATAATGTCAAATTTGAACGGGGCATTCACTCGAAACTTGCAAGGAACTAGTTGCCTACTTTGGTATAGTGGTAAGTCTCAAGTCACCCGAATACACTAGTCCCAAAGTAGTATAAGTGCAGAATCCTCAAAGATGCAGGCGGTGGGGATGGTCCCCTGTCCCTGTTGAAAGTAGACTATCGACCTGCTCGCCTCCACCTGGTCTGCTCTCTTGAGCGCGTTCTAGATCATCCATGATTCTATTCTCATCTGAACACCTCCTCCTCTACCCTCCTCGGTACTTGAGTGAGCCCCCGCCCTTTCCGCATTCTGACTGAATCCTCAATCGCTTCTAATCCATCGCTGGTTGCTGGCTCAACCTCACCTGTTCCGCGCGGTAGACGCATCTCCTGCCTTTTCTTTGACCGACCGGACGTCTCTTTGGCGACAATATGTCGTCGACTGACAATGGCCTTCTATCCCCACCGCCAGTCCATAATATCCCCCTCAATGATTTAGAATCCAGTCGCCCTCGCCGTTATCACACCCCAAATTGGCCCGATCTAACCGACCCCTCGGCTCTCGCTCCTCATGTCAAGCAGCACATGGATAACGGCATCGACCGTCTGGACGACTTCTTCACTAAGGTCGCCATCTTCATAACTCCGAGTTACTTGCAGCATCATGTTGGCGGCAAGTCGCAGCCCCCGTCTAGACAACATGCGATCGCAGCGTTGGATGGTCTGCGCGGCTGGGCCTGCCTGCTGGTCTTCAACTTCCACTTCCTCTTCACATATACCTGGAAGGTTGCCGTGGGCTGGGGATTCAACAATGAGAATTTCAGCGTGCTGCAGCTCCCTATCATACACATGCTGGTCTCTGGTCATATAATGGTGGCTATCTTCTTCGTCATCTCCGGTTATGTGCTCTCCTACAAGCCATTGAAGTTGATTCGCAGTCGCTCCTGGGAACAGACCTTCACTACCTTAGCCTCATCTACCTTTCGCCGCGCACTCCGTCTCTACATCCCGTCTGTCGTCGGCATCTTATTGGTCTTTATCGCGGTCCGGTTGGGTGTGTACAACTACTCACATAAAGTCCTCGTAGAGGGCCACACCATCCTCGGCACGAACGAACAGCACCCTCCAATCATGCGGTCCTTCTACAAACAATACTGGGATTGGTACCTGACAATCGTTCATCTGATGGATCCTTTCAACTGGGCTCTTTACTACAACTACTATAATCCCCATCTGTGGACCATCCCCGTCGAGTTTCGCAGCTCTATCGTGCTCTTCCTCACCCTCCTGGGCACCTCTCGCTTGACAACACCCGTACGTATCTCGCTTGTCAGTGGCCTGGTTTGGTTCTGTATGCGCTGGGGTCGTTGGGACATTGTCCTCTTTTTGTTCGGCATGCTGATGGCGGAGGCGGATCTTATCAACGGCACCTGGGAGCGACCTGCGAATGAGAGCGAGTCGAAGCCCAGACCTGGGCACCGACACTTCCTCCCGAAGCAGCAAAATGCCCTTAGACAAATGCTACCTTTCCGTCTCTCTGCCCGCAATCTTTGGATCGGCCTCTTCGTCCTCGGTCTGTATCTGGGATCCGCCCCGAACACCGGCTACAAGTGGACTCCCTTCTACCGTTGGACTTGGGAGATTACCCCTCGAACCTACCCGGAGCCGCATCGATTCCCCCAGACCCTGGGCGCTGTACTCATTGTGTTCAGCATCAACCACTCGAAGGATCTCCAAAAGCTCTTCATCCACCCTGTCTCACAGTACCTAGGCAAGATCTCATTTGCCTTCTACATTGTCCACGGGCCCATTCTCCACTCGCTGGGCTACTCTCTCATGCCTAACATCTGGGCCGTCGTTGGAAAAGAGACCAACTTCCAGTACTGCCTGGGCTTTTTGATTGGTTGGCTCATCTGTCTTCCCATCTCCCTCTGGGCTGGTGATGTCTTCTGGCGTGCGGTGGATATTCCCAGCGTGAAGTTCGCCCGTTGGCTGGAAGACAAGCTCATCGTGAAACCAGCTAAGCCCGAAAGCTCCAGCTCGAACTCACACCTGCACTAGCTGAGTGCATTAACGCTGGATGTTCGGTCATAGCGTTGGCCTGCGAAGTCCACCGCTTCATTGTAGGCTCTAACCTCCATCATCTTCCTCTTGCCTAATTCACGAAGCGCGCTCGAAATGGCTGGATTCCCCAAGCTAGCGAGCAGACGCCCGCCCTCAAGTGAGGAACTCATCTCTGTATCCTCCTCACATGCAGTGAAACAATTGAGATTTAGCGCGAACACGGATTAGTGACCTGCAATGGAGCGACCTTGACACAGCGGATAACGGGAAACGAGATGCAAGTGTGGGGTCAGCTGGGGTCGCAAGTGAGTCTTTAGGGGTGGATCAATTATTGATGTGAAACGGCAGACGGCTGTAAAGAAACCGATGCTGCCACTTGTATATCTTGAAGCGTTGTATATAGAACCGCCGTCGACCTGGCTGAGAAGTCAGTAGACGGTCATGTAGCTCGGCGCCGGCCGCCAGCCCCAACAGCTCCGGCATGGCCCGCAAGGCGCCGAAACGGAGTAAGGAATGAAACCATGATCAGTTAGATACAGGACTTGTGTTCAAATGATGATGTTACTCTACATTGATAGTGTTGCTCCTGTCGAACCCTGTTCTCCGCGCCCCCGCGGAGGTCTTTTGGAATGGCCAGCAGTTGTCTCAGTTAGCCTGGGGCTGGCTAGCTACAGGAATTTCAGCTCTATTGTCGCGGTCCTCTAGGATGTGTATACATTCACTAGCATTCGTGCACTATAGCAGGTTTCTAGCTACTATCTATTGAGTCAGTTGGTAGTGCGGTGACAAGGTCGGTGTTTATCCATGGGAATGAGTACAAGCTGGTGGCATGCAAGCGAGATGTTGCTGCAATGAATGATCATACATTCCCTGCATTAGCTCCTCGTGAACTTCTTCTATATACCAGCTTCTGTATATATCAATCGCCCTCCATCCTATCAGGTGCTGATTTCCGCTATCGCGGGGGTTCCACTATGTGACTGCTACTTCTATCTCACAGAGTACGCTGCGAACCCGCTTGTTACACATCCAGTACACCATCTCAGACTCTTACGTTGCCAATCTCTCGGTTAGGAAAATGAAGATCGAGAGATCGGAAACCCTGGCACTAGTACACTGCCAATCCAGTAAATGAAGATCATCCAGCCGGATTTGCTGTGAACCAGGTACAGAAGGTTTGAATAGACTCTAGCTGCTCCGTAGATAGTTGAAGATCGCTGCAAAGATCAACAGGGCCATGGAAGACAATAAGACCCGGTGATTGAACGAACCAAGCACCGTGCTTGCTCCAAGTAACCTGTTGGTAGACTGCATAATGCAGATCGATGCTGCCTCCGCAGATCGTCGCACGGGGTTCTCATTCTAGCTCCTGCCCTCGCATATCAGGCTATGCTAATCATGGGGTTCGGGTGCCTGGACCCCGTGTTCCTACAATAGTCGTCATCGGTTCTAAAGAAGACACCGACCATGCCAAGATTCGATTCATAGCAAAACAATCAGCTAGCATTACTTACCTTACCTAGTAGTGATATCCAATCTTCCTTCCATAGGGGACTACCGTTGTCTTTCATCTCCAGTAGATATCTACCTCACCGCCGGATGTCTGTCTTAGCCGGTCTGCGCATGCTAGGAATGTCTTGCCCAGCCCTTGTTTCAACCCTGCCTGCCAGTTCCCCAACAATGTCAGCTTGAGTTTCGGAACCCCAAGCCAAAACATCTATCCCCTCATGCTGTGTGCTGTATAGCTAGCTTCCTGTCTCTTCTGATTATCCCTTGTTAGGTATCGATCTGCTAACAACCCATGGAGCTAGCTACAAGTAAGGGCCGCTGTCACTGCAGGAGTCTCAGCATTGACAAATAACATGTCACCTTCTGACGTGAGGGGTGGAGGTACCTCAGCTGCCTCCAATACTACTATGTTGTGAAAGTGAGGTCGCTCCCCAAATCAGAAGGGACATAAATACCGTCGAATCATCCGGGGATCATAGCTTGTTCTCCAATCGCTCATCCACAGGATATCCAATCCAGATCATTTGAGATATCAAGCCACTACGACTCAAAACTCCAAAATGAAGTTCATCCTCCCCGCCGTTCTCTTCCTCGCCTCTGCCGTCTCCGCGCAGAATGTCGTCCTCGACTACAGCGACGGTATCCCGCTGTGCTGCACCACCCACGACCTCGTCTCCGAGGCCGAAGACGAAGTCATTCAGCAGGTGACCAGCGCTTTCGAGAGTGACGGCGGTGGTGCCTGGGATCTTGGTGAGGCCATTGCGGGTGAATGTAAGTGGACGCCATATTCTAAGCTGGGATGGATAGCATAATTGGGAATTGAAATTAACTGGATTGCAATTCATAGGCCAGACTGCATTCCCCACTGGCTTCGCTGGTGGCAACCGCACCGACTGCCCCGAGGACCTGACTGCCATCTGGTGCAAGAAGCACGCTCCCTGGACCGTAAGTATTACAGCTAATCTGAATATGGATGATTCAATGCTGATGCCATTCACAGTTGACCATCAACGGTACCTCGACCCCCCGTGATGCCCACGGCCAGTGCCACTACTAGATAGACTATTTGTCAACGACGAGTGATGGAATGTGGAATGTGTTGGGCGACAAAAGATGACTGATGTTGAGGAGAGTAACGAGGTTCAATGAGGAAATGATGCATCGTGGTACGACTAGATAGATAGATGAAATAAAAAGCTTCATCGCATAACTCCGTGGCCGATCCTGAGATGGAGTTTACCTCTGACACACCCGGTAACTAGTAACAGAATAAATAGAGAACACTTCATAGGCTAGCACCACTCTTGGAGCTCGGTTATTTCGACTCCAAGAAGCGTTATCATTGGATTTTCTTTATTCAAGCATGCAAGGCCCTTGATACCCCTTGCATAACGTGACCGAGGTAGAGAAAAGGGTATTTTGTTGACTTGCCTTAAGTGGATAATGGAAAGAGCTGTTCTGCCAAGAACAAGGACTAGGTTTGACTGGATTGAGAATATTAGGAAGTAGGTTGAACATCATATACTCTTAGGGAGAATAAGTGAACTGCGGGGATAATTGAAGTTTCAATTAATGGGAGGTATGTCAAGAAGGTTAAGGAGATGAAACCTTGCTCACACCGCAAGTCCCAGTATCTACTGCTGTCTCATACCGGCTAGTCGTGATAAGCCACTGCCTCTAATGCCATTGCCTCGCGTAAAGAGAATAGGTATTCTCGTACGAATCGTTCTTCACTAAACCTCCAGCTGTGCCAGAACAACTAGAATAGTGCTAGAAAAAAGCATTGTATCGATGTGTTCTTGTGAGTACTAGCTGTGCCAATGATTCAGCTAGTCATCAATACCATTACTCAACATAATATATATGATCTGTATCCCTCTACCTATTACTATCAATTTATCAATAGGATACAATCTATGCAAATCTATAATCTACATCCCACACCTCACTCTCTACCCTCCAAAAACCCAGCAATCCGGCGATACATCTCCACCGGATTCGAATACATAGGAAAATGCCCACTTTCAGCAATCATCGCCAACTCGATCCCCTCCTTCTCCAACCTGGGCAAATACGACAACCCCCGATTCTCCTCCCCGAACATAAACATCTTCCTACAGGGCAGCCCCAGAAACATCCCCATTAAATCCTCCTCATCCGACAACTTCACCATCGACTCAAAGATCGGCCTCACAGCACCCGACCGGACCCTCGCGCGCAATGTACTTGCATACAAAGGACTGGCATACGACTCCGCCGTTGCCGTACGGACAATAAAAGCATCCATAAACGCCTCCGGATCATCGGCCGGGAACTGAAAGATCTGACGACTAAGGAAGCAGTCCTCGGGGGCAAGATTTCCCTTGATGTCGACGAAGCTCAACACACGATCGGGGAGCCTATGCGCCAGCAGAAGCGCAGTAAGTCCGCCCATGGAGTGGCCCATGAGGTGGAACTGATCGATGCCGAAATGCGCGAGGACCGCTTCCGCGGTGGCAACTAGGAAGGGAATGTCGACGACGGAAAGGTCGTCGGTATGTGAGTGTCCGCACCCGGGGGCGTCGAATGCCAGATAGGCATACTGTTGGAAGGATGGATGCACGATTATATCGGCTATGTCTTCTTTGCAGGAGCCGAAGCCGTGCAGGAAGACGATTGGTGGGTTGGAGTTGAGCTTGTTGTTGTGGATGGTGGAGATTTCGAGGCGCACGCCATTGACTTTGAGCGGGATGGTTGAGTATGTGAGCGGCATGATGGTGAGGGGTATGTGCTTTGGCGACCGCGTGTTGATCCGACGATGGTGTTGCTTTGCATGATTCGATGCTTGGACAAGCTATATATGCATCCTGACGTCAATCCATGGGTTGATGGACGTCGGCGAAATGTCGACTTGCCGGTCCCGCGCCGTTGCGGGAGGGGCCGGATATAGATAGACCCCTTTTGCCCTGGGTTGGAGTGCTGCTGGGGAGAGTGCCTTTTGACCGATCAATTAGAGTCTAGACATGGGGATTCGGAGATGTGAAAATTGTGTGTATAGGAGAAGGCAGATAATAATGCCTGGGCTCTCGGTTGAACTCCGATTCTACCGTTCGGAATCTATCAGACTGTCCCGATGCTTACTGTTATAATGTTTCCCATTGCAGCTGCTCTCCGGCACATGTAGTTGATTAATTCTCCATTCCTTCTGTTATATGGCCTTTTCTCCAAGATAATCCTACATCGAATCATAACAATTATCCGAGTTGTATTCTACACACCTTACCAGCAATTCATACTAGAAATACTCAGCCATGACAGTCGCAACATTCAACCCGCAATTGCGACTCCTTAATGCTCTCCGAGCAAATGCAAAGCCCATAATGACATTCCTGGGCCTTCCCTCTTTCCGCACAGCTCAGATAGTAGCCCAGACCGGCCTTGACGTCAGTAACTATCCTACCCATCAATCCACCCGCTAAGCTGATAATCAAAAAGGGCATTATCATCGACTGCGAGCACGGCCACATAAGCGATGACTCAATGCACAGCGCAACAGCAGCTATAGCTTCATTAGGAGTATCGCCGCTTGTCCGTCTGCGAATGACTCACTCGGACTTAATTAAACGGGCCCTGGATGCCGGCGCACAGTAAGTAGCACTCCAGTCTACCTATTATTGATATATAATATACGTAAGTAATTAATATTCAAGCGGAATTGTGGTCCCGCAAATCAACACCGCCGAAGAAGCCCAAACAGTGGTCTCTTACTCCAAGTTTCCCCCACAAGGGCTTCGCGGACAAGGATCGGCCTTCCCGGCGTTTACGCACAGTATTGATCTCCCGACGTATATCAAGACAGCGAATGAGACCTTGATTACGTGTATTCAGATCGAAACTAAACAGGGAGTTGAGAATGTTGAGGAGATTTGTGCGGTACCTGGTGTTGGTGAGTTGCGCCCATACTCGTTTGTCGATGGTGTCAAGTGGGCTGACTAGAATAGATATGATTTTCATTGGTCCAAACGACCTAGCACTGTCACTATTGGGCTATGTGCCCGCGAGAGGTGACGAGCCTGAGTTTGTGCAAGCTATTGAGAAGATTGTAGCTGGGGCTCGGAAACATGGGAAGTGGGTTGGTAGGCTCTCGAATAATGGGACATTGGGCAAAGAGCACTTGAAAGTCTTTGATACGGTGGCATTGAGCTATGATATTCGGGCGATGCAGAATTGGTATACTAGTGAGTTGCAGGTGGCGCGGTCGTGATGCGTTTGGAGTCTTTGGAAGATTTGAAATATTGGGTGTAGATTTGTGGAGACGATTAACGCCAGTAGAGGCTCGCACTCGTACAGTTATCACTCTGACTGAATACCCATCAATTAGGTCCTCGTTTAGAGTATCATATAGTCGGCGTTCGTTAAACTCCGCTAGGCTTGTAATCAAAGCGTTGTCATGCCAAGATACACATATCAGGAATGGAATTAAATGAAGTCATAGGAGGGCACAGGGTCTTCGTACTAAGATATGGCAATATGGAGACCATATAACTGTAAGGTTTCTCTCGGATAATGGAGCTGTTCTGAGGACGTTGCTTAGGAGTGTGTTGTGTTAACTCTGATATCGTCAAACCTAGTATAACCGAGACATCGCAGTGGCTCGATGCTGGTATGATACTCAGGCAAGATCAATCACGGTATGATGACAGCCAAAAATTGGATGAGTAGGGTGTTTCGTTGTTGTCATCCTCAAGTGTGGGTATAGAGGTATTGTGAGAACCCTTGATGCCAACGAAGTGGAGACAGTGGAGCACTCTAGCAATATCACTTCCAGATTAACCTGAGACATGACAAAGGACCTTGAGAGCAGAGAGGCAGAAGGGACTAGGGTCAATGTGTAAATCGCTTTGGTGACATAGATAGATATGTAGTGAGATGTCTCTGTTCAGGCATGAATGACGGCTCATATTTTTAATCTCTGTGTATCAACATCAAAGAGCTGTATCTTTGTATCAGGAGTGCTAAGAGAACTGCATCAGATTGTCTTGCAGATCGTGAAGAGCATAGAGTATCTAAAGACTATCAAGACACAGCCGCTAGGTCCCTGAGCAAGGAACGGACCATTTCTTAGCCTTACTAGGCGAAGCAAACTAAAATAAGCTGGCTTGGCTGTCCGCATGAATATTTATATCTCACCCTGTGGATAATATACCGGTTGTCTGCCCGATCACCAGTCTATGATCACACAGCAAAAGCACAATTCCACTACTTTCTCAAGCTTTCCATTCCGAACAATAACCTTCAATCAAAACGAAGACCACTCTCGCACACTCCGCCCTTATCTCGAGCATGCTCGCCGCAGCAGCTCCTACCAGCAGCTCCTTCCAGCTCGTCATCAGCTCCAACACCGACAACCTCAATGGCCGCGCCCTCATCAGCCAGTGAGACGCCTTCATCGTGGCCCCGAGCGGCGAACACGGCATAAACTTCACCGGCGGTGATGGCATTCTGGGCATCGAGAACGGCGACGTTGGTAAGTCTCTGATGCATATGATCAGTCTAATTCGACAGTACGCTAATACGAGTATACTCAGTCTACGTTGGCACCGATGGCCATGTTGACCTCAAGAGCACCGACGGTGTCCAGTCCGGTGGCTTGACCCAGGGCTTTACTACGGGCTCCGACAACACCCTCGAGTGGGCTCAGGGCAACTTCTATGCCTGCCCTCACCAATCCCTGTACGCTGCAGGCGAACCGACCTACATGATCTACACCAGCCGCTCTGGTGTCACTCTTTCCAGCACCTGTGTTCAGGTTGCTCTCCGAGAGGTTTCTGCTTAGGGTAGCTGCTTTAAGTTTCTGGATTTCTGAAGATTGTGTGTAGGATTGGGCTTATGATGGACACTCAACTAAGACATTCGTTACAATAAACTGATGAATTACGTGCTTTCACTTTTCAACCTTTTATGTTACATGTAATTGATGTTACTGTCTAAGGTCCTGGATTAAGAGACATTCCTAACCTGGGGTTTATTGTAATTCAGAGCAACTCGCGATGTGACACATCGAAGATTAAAGTAAAGGTCAACGTATATAATCTATATGCGCTTATTGCCAACCCTGTGTGAATATTTGGACAGAATTTTCACCATAGTGGCTGAAATATATCCCATTAATTCTTACGCTGCAGTGTGTGATATCCAAGCTGCTTCCGTGCCTCTCCAATGCTTGCTCCACCCATGATCATTTCGCGAATGCCTTCCTCGCTCTTTTCAATCTTCTGAGCAACTTCCGCCACTTCCCTCGCCCGATGCCGAGGGACAATGACAACACCGTTGGCATCAGCAACCACGATATCACGGGGGTTGACACGGACTTTGCCAATTCCCACAGACTCATTGACGCCTCCGACTTGCACCCGGTCCTTGCCAGTCCGCATCCAACGCCCTGCCGTGAAAATAGGGTACTCGTTCTTGATTGCGCGATTTACATCACGGCAGACACCGTCGATGACAGTGCCAGCAATGCCTCGCAGGCCAGCATATTGCGTCATAATATCTCCCCAAACAGTGCAATCAGTACGGCCGCCGTTGTCAATGACCACAAAGTCACCCTCGGCGACATCGTCAATGAAGTCGCCAACACTGCCTGGGGGATCGCTAGCAGGAACATAGCGCACGGTAAAGGCCGGCCCTACCGTTACCTTTTCGTAGTTGGTCAAAGGCATGATACCAAGCGCCTGTCCAGGAATACCAAGCTTATCAAGCGCATCCGAGATGCCAGGGGTATCTGATTCAGCAAACAGGGCAGCCAGCTCCGCGTCTTCAGGGCTCGCTTTCTTGGGGTTGGATGACGACGAGGACGATGAACTAGCCGGGGCAGACTCATCACTGGAGCGGATAGCCTCAAACTGCTTATCATGCATAACCTCAGAGACAGGGTTTCCAGCTCTCACAGCCTGCACCATGCGGTTTTGGCGACGATCAATGCGTTCACCCAAGTCCAGAACTTCCTCAATGCGCGCAGCCGGCACAAACACTGTTCCACAGATATCGGCAATCACGTAGTCATCTTGGTTGACGGTGACACCGCGGACCTGCAATGGTGTACCGGACTCGAGCTGCACTAAGCGGTTTCGCGCGCTGATCATCGTCACTCCCCGGCCATAGACAGGATAGTTGACGTCCTTGCTGCCGTCGATATCACGGCTCATGCCATCGATGATGGTCCCGCGGATGCCTTTCTTCTTCGAAGCATTGGCGATGATATCGCCCCAGCATGAAATGCCCTCAGTGCCGCCTGAAATGACTAGAATGCGGTCATTTGTTGTGACGGCGTCGATGACCGGTGTGAGGAGATGGGTTGTGGGAGCAGCGTCGGTCTTGGGACCGACTTTGACTGTGCTGGCTCGTCCTACTATTTTCGGGCAGTCCCAGAGCGGTCGTAAACCATATGTGGCGCCTTTGAGGTCTAAGAAATCTAATGCATCGGACACTGTGTTGGTGTCTAGGGCGGAGAGTCGCTTCAATATGGTTGATTCAGTCATTATGGAGGTCGGTTGATTCAAGTAAAATGATAATGATAGGATGGAGTATTGGACGTATCACTTGATTGGGGAAGAATGATTACAGGAAGAAGATGATAAAGGGAGAACAGCCTCCTACTAATAGGTAACGATTCCATTTATATTGATTAGCATTCTGCTTTATAGTTCGGCAAGCTAACCGATCTGCGGAGGACTTCTCGGCGCTGAGGAATCATGCCGTTCAAGTGGCGGAGGTCCATTTCCCGCTGCCGTGGCTGCAGCAATCGTCGGCACAGTTACATTTCCCCGATCCCCTCTGAAGATCGAAAGGAACCGGCCCTACCAGCTCCGTCGGAGTCGTAATTGTGGCCCTATGATATTAGCTATTGCTAAGAGAGCCCTAGACCGAGGCTAATCCTGACGTAGGTCAGGCACTCTGCGCGCTATGCGTAGACATCTCGCGTCTGTTAAGACAGATTATATCTAACTAATGTCCTCTGAAAGATTCTTTGGCTAGGAGGTTCAAGTTGGAGAACCCTGCCAGGCCATTATCTCCACTTCCTGCTATTAACCAGAGACTTCCAATCCCTCACAGGATCTGTACCAGTTAGAAACTATCTTCACTCTCGATGACATTGACAGGAGCGAGACACAGCGCTAGTCCCAACACGGCCATCCATCGCATCAAACATCACGTGATGTGACGACACCGTATTGCCGACATCTACCGCTTTGGGGGAGGATCCAGTGCTCATCGCGGGAATAGTAATCATACCGATAATTATCCCGGCCACTAGTGAGTCTCTTGGATCAAAATGTCTCTGTCCAAGAACTTCATCCGCTCAAGCCGCACCACCCAGCAATCGCTATGTCGATGCAGCATATCCCGCCGACAGGTGCAGCCTTCACAGGAACGCCACTTTAGCCGATCTCGCGCTGTCGCCGCCCCAGTGACCGGAGCAAGTGAAGCCGAAGTCCAAGCAGCTCAGAAATACTGCTCGAATCTTCTTCTGTAAAGTCTTTCCAGTTGATTACCCATTTCAACCGGCAATCTATCTAATACATTCTTGGATCATGCCAGACAATACGACCGTCCCTCCTATACCCTGAGCACCTTCATCCCCCGAAATGCGCAATCTTTCTACATCGCTCTTCGAGCTCTTAATGTCTCTCTTTCCCTAATCCCCGACACCACCTCCTCCCACACCATCGGGCTTATGCGCCTCCAATTCTGGCGCGATGCAGTTGCCAAAACACTATCCGGTTCACCCCCGAAAGAGCCAATTGCTATTCTCCTCGCCTCTGCCATTTCAGACCTAGCCGAGCGAACACAAGGCCGGGCGCGCATCAGCAAAGGCTGGCTGAACAGAATGATCAATGCCCGCGAACAAACCCTTACCAACGACCCGTACCCTGATATCGCGGCACTCGAGTCCTACGCCGAAAGCACATACTCGACATTGCTCTACCTCACACTCTCAGCACTCCCCATGACCTCGGTAACGGCGGACCATGTGGCGTCGCATATTGGAAAGGCAGCCGGTATCACAGCTGTACTTCGTGGTTTGCCATTGGTAGCATTCCCGGGTGCATCAACCCAACGTCCCGACCAGGCTGGTACGACAATGGCCGGTGGAGCTAAGCAGGGAGCCGTAATGCTGCCATTGGATGTAATGGCGCAGGCTGGAGTGAAAGAAGAAGAGGTGTTTCGCCTGGGCAGTGAGGCGCCAGGATTGCGGGATGCTGTTTTTGCGGTGGCCACTCGCGCCAGCGACCACCTGATTACCGTGCAGCAGATGCTAAGCAATATTCGTGCTGGGCAAGATGCAGGACATGATTTTGAGCACGGGCATGAAGAGGATCATCAGTATGATCTCGGATCCCAGAATGAGACACCGCTTCAGGAGGTCAATCGTGCCTTTGGAGTGTTTATGCCGGCCGTTGGAACGCGGCTGTGGCTGGATAGGTTGGAGAGTCATGATTTTGATATCTTCCAGCCTGAACTTCTCCGGTCGGATTGGAAGCTCCCTTGGAAGGCTTATATGGCTTTTACACGGAAGACATTCTCTTAACCTGTGAGCCTTCGACATTTGGTTAGTGTATGTGTATGATATGTTAGATGTACAATAGTATCGTGCACCAGGCTAGGACCTGGCCGGCTTTACACAGTATGGCAAGAACCTTGCCATACTTCGCCGTAACACAAGATTCGTTCCATGAAGGGGCAGAAGCCGTACTCGAGCACTGAATCTCAGTTCTATGAAGTTGGGGAGTTCCTGTAGGCAGACTGCACCTGACTCCTTCCCCCCTTGCTTCCACGACCCTCTCCTGCATAGACCCAGACGGGCCTCTACTTGTCTCAGTTAGCTTGAATATGACGATGCCTTGATCTTGACACCTCATCCCTCACTTTGGTCTACGTACCCTAATACTATCAAGATTCATCCTGTGCAAAGCGGGAAAACTCTGCACATACCGGAAGGGTTCCTGAATGTAATACCTCCAATAGCAGAGAGATTACCATCTCGCGTGACTGCGGCTAATACCAGGTTTACTCTGGTCGGTCATATCAGAGCTGTTGTGACAATATCAAAGCCAAGCCGGCTAGGCTACCTAATGATTTACTTTACTGTCCACATACGAAAGAAGCTACTGTACATTCTTGCTCAGTCAACGTTATGGGACATCTAATTGCCACTCACCGATAAAAGGTAAAGTGGATACAGGTCGTGTGCTGCTACGCCAATTGCCTTGCTGGAGATGGAGAGGCTCTGCCTCTTGAGAGGTCAGTACCTGTCCTACCTGTCTCGACATGAAAGACTCGACCCCTTCAGGATAACCAATCCCTCACACCCATTTGTCATAAACCAGGAGTAAAGTGTGCATTGATTCGCATTATCGCACATTTCTTTGCCGGGGCATTTCGTGGCTGAGACTGGGTAATTCATGTTGATGCAGTTCTACTCCGACTAGCTCTACTCAGTCGATGCGCGATTGAGAGCCTGAAGGATCTAGATCCAGCAGCAGATCACCCTTGCATTGCACCAACCAGGGACAAAGCCTAAATGTGTAAAAGGCAACTACTAGTAAGTACGTACATGGCGATTCGCTAATCAGAAGATCCGCTCATTTCATTCATCATACTACCGACCAGTTACGGAATCAAACGCTCTACCGACGTACAACAAACCCATTACATACATAGTCGTTCATCATTCTAATGGCACCAGGCCACACGCTCTCATGCAATCATCAAACATACATACATCCCAAAACAAGAAAGCTACTCCCTGATTTCCCTCGCCGGCCCATTACTAGGCTCCCGCATTAAATCCGCCCTTTTATCCAGCATCGCCTCCGCCATAAACGGGCTTCTCTCACGAATGCTCTTCCCCCAAACAA